TAAATAATTATTTTTTGAGACTGCAAGTACCAGGAATCGAACTCGGGTCCTGCCAAATGTGAAGCTCAGAATCATCGCACCTTAACCAACTGATCCGAAGCCGTACTTGACTTTTTTGTTCGCATATTTTTCTGGAGTTTTGTTACTATTACTATGAATGTTTTTATTAACAATTTTACTTGCTGTGTTTATATTAGAACGAAATCATAAACCAGCTGTAGAATAATTGAATTAATTAATTAATTATAATTAATTATAATTTTAATGTAATAATTTATTTAATATGGTTAGTCAATATTTGTAAAATACAAATGCAAAAAATAAGATCAATCTAAGACTTTTACCAAAGAATTTTTGTGATACAGATATTTTGTAAAAATTATTATATAATTAATTTTAAAATAAAATTTTATTTGTCATAAAATGATTACTTCAAAGTATTTATGTATTATTATATTATGTTGAGGCTAGTTGAGTCAGTGCACCTGAGCACTTTTACTCTCTATTAACTGCGAGGTTTCTTCAAAACCCCTCTTTGCGCCTTGACTAGATTATTGTTTATCACTTCATCAGAAATAGAAATAGTTATATATTGGTATTTCCTAATAATGGATTTTAAAGTTAATATATACAAAAAAAAAACAAACTACTGTTAATTTGATTTTACTGCGTGTAAGTTTAAAATACCGTATCTAACATTGTTCTATTGATTGAATGTAGCAAGTTTCTACGTTTTTTGAAATTGAGTCGGAAAGGTGAGACTTATTTCTACTCAAGGTTTCAAATTCTAAGAAGTAAATATTACAGGTGCAAATATTACAGGTATTACATTTTTTAATGTCATATAGTTTCTGAAATAAAATCATACCTAACAGCTAAACGTTATTTTCTACTTAAGTAATCACATTTATTCTAAATAAAAATGGCCGCGTATATGGCTGCTACCATTTTGGAATCTCTTGATGAATCATATTTATTCTAAATAAATATGGCCGTGTTTCTGCTGCCATTTTGGAATCTCTTGATGAAATCTTGTTTCTGGAACATAATCATTTCCAACACTCCGTGCCCGAACCCCACTTGATATTAAGTAATGGCCATCACAATGGACCAACAATATTAACAATTATTATTTGTTACTATCACTAACTTTCACATTTCTAGTTATCATACTTGTTTCTACATTTTTTTAATACTATAATTTTTATAATACACTTAAATTTGTATATATAGTGGTATATATGAGTAAGAAAGATTTATTCATTTTGGTTCACATTTTAAAGGTACATCCAAATGAAATTTCTGTATTTGTAATTCGTGGAATGCGTCTTACAAATAACATATCTAAAACGAATTAGCTAGTCACCTGCTTTAAATATAATGCAACCTAAAAGATTATCTACCTATTCAATGTGTTAACAGTTTTTCCGTTATTTTAAATAACTGGTATGTAACTGAGTGTGTTTGGTCATACGTATCTTTTTAAAAGGAAACAATGCAATTCTTCAGCATAAACACATGTCATGAAAGTAGTACTTGTAGTTTGTAAATAACACTTCAAACCTGTAATTCGTGGTGACCATGACACAAAAATATAGCAGCTCGCAGAAATTCTAATAATATGGAGTTCTGACCTTCTATCTGCAACTTTCCATCTGTTTTTGTACACGTATGTGTGTAGCGAAGATAATTAAACAATCTTACGAAATTGAAAGAAATGAAGCAGGTAGTGAATAATTAGTAGACAGTCCGTAGAATCGATCACTTTCCAGGCAACAATCTAACTCAATCGATCACTTACGAATGCCTCTCGCAGAGTTCTAGTGGCAAACAAAGCGACCGCGCATAGCAATTACATATTACGAAGTCCGGTATTAGAACATATGTTCATCAACAAAAATAAAAAACCACGCGTAGATTTTTTCTTTTATTTTTACATTCCATACACACTCGTTGTACTCTGAACACGTGTACAGCTCGTCTCCAACGTTTCGCGGGCGGTATTATCAACGTATTAGACTCGTTGTTTGTTTTCATTTTACTCTTGTGAACTCATAAATACTTTTTATTACAATTTAACTTAATACAAATCGCAGTAAATAAATCTTTTTAGTTTTTCTTTTTTTTAAGTGAAATTAAATGTGAGCGAATATAGACTCTGTAAACGGTGACTAAATCAGTTTAAAATCGTGTTATCAATTGTTTTTACGTGGCTTCATTTTGAGTGCGCAGACGGATTGTAAACAAACTATTATTATTTAAATTTTTGTTGTTTTCTTTTATTTTGCAATTATAATATGCAATCAAAACAGTTTTACAATGTAAGTACTATAAAATAAAATAAAAAATTTTAATTTTTATAATGAATAAATGAATATATTGTGATATGTCTGTCTAGCAAAATTGCATCATTAATAAAAACATAAAATTTATATGTGTATATATAAATAAATTATGTATTTCAAGCCGTAAAGAATTCAAAAAATTTATTTATTGAATTTTGGAAACGGAAACCTTCCATCTTTAAAAAAAACCTAATATACACAAAATTTTAATAAATTTATTTTAACAAACTATGTACGTTTAATATAACACAACGGGCTTACATTAGATCTCCATATTGGTAGCATAGCTATATACGACAAGCTACTAAAAGTTTATATCAACAATTGTCTAATATCCAAATACTACCCTGTTCTTGTAGAAGACAAACTCTACCACTACGAGCAAATATATCATTTTACCAAAGGAGTTAGATACCAAGTTAACACATACAATAGAAGAAAGGTGCTCCGATAACAGTAACCACACATATGTATATATGTGTATATTCTATGAATACCGAAAAAGTTGTAGTGTTGAAGTTATATACAAGATACTGTCTAGGTTTATGAATTTGGCGCTGAAGTGTTATAATAAATATAGGACGACCATTGAATCCACGTTCGAGATTAACTCCAAGTTTACAGCATTTTTAGAATCGTGAAACATATGCAGAAAATGATACCAGATTTTCTGAATGATTCGTTTAGTTATATAAATATTTTAAAATTTTAATTTGAAAGAAATTCACATCATTATTTTCTGTAGTTGCTCACAAAAACAATTCTTCTTTAATATAGAAGTAGAACAAAATAACCTTTTCAAACTGCTTAGTCTAATAAAGCTATAGTGATATACGATATAATAAATCTAAGTACACAGATCTGGGATTCATTAATTCCCACTATTACATTTTTTTACAGTTTTTATAAATTGTTAAAAAATTAATATATGATATAATTTATCTCAATAGCTACGGTCAGTATTTCCAAAGAATCAAATACCACTTTTAATTTGATAGTGAATCTATAATACATCCATACGACCTCATTAATAAATTTTCAAACTATCCAAACTTCATACAAAATTTTAATTCCATACAGGTTTAAATAAAATGTCATATGGCTGACGATTTGCTTAAACATTATTTGTGGATTTTTTATAAATCTATAAATAAATGAAACACAAAATAGCACATAAAAGTGGTTTTCAATGTACATAAAGGTGGTACTTCTTCTTATGCTAAAGTGTTTGGTAATATCAGTCACATCTGCTGAGAGAGATGTCTTTTCATATCAAATGTATAAAGTGCACTTTAATTTAATAACAATTCGTCAAAATTAATTAAATTCAGGAATTTAGTGAGTACACCCTTTTATTATCTTTAACAATAGACGATTAAAAAATTATGTAGCAATTCAGCGGTGAAGTCCTTCGAAGGATCCACTTTACGAACTCAGTGTATTGTAGTCATTAACGGAAAGTTGTGGTGTATTTTGTGTGATTATATAACGAGCCCTTATTGCTCATTTATTAATAAGTTCCCATTCAATTTTTCGTCTAACAGTTCCATTACTGAATAGTATACTCATTTCTTTACTTTATATATCCTCTTAACTTCCATCGAAATATAAAAACCTTTCTCCAGCGCAAAGTCATTTCACAAGTGTCTTTTCATCTACACTTATTTATACTTAATCTTTTCGTCTCTCTAGCTGTTTAGTGTAGATTGTCTACTTTATACAATATTTTTAATTTTAGGTACGGATAAAAATCTTATACTTTATTGAAAATATAAACTTTGAAAAAGTTTTGTGGTTAGATTGTTGAAAATTTGTTTCGGTTTTAATTGTAGCGTCTTCCATTTAAGGAGAATATAAATCTGGTAACCATTAATCCAATACATCGGCTACATGATCAGATGAATTTTATATAACATTCTTACTATTTTTTTATTATATTATGTTGAAGCTGTTTTAAGGTAGTGCATTTAAGCGCTTATAATCTTTTTTAACACGAGGTTTCTTCAAAACCCCTCTCTATTTATTTTATTTATTGTTATTTTGGATTTATGTTCAACTACTTATACGGATAATCAGTTTGTACTGTAGTTTTCAAGGGATAAATTTTTAGCCTAAAGTAAAACCTAAAGATCATCGGATATCCCGTTAATGATTGTTTTTAAATTTAGAGCTCTTACTCCTAACGATAACTTCATATAACTTTTAAGTAGGGCGATTATTATATATCATTTAAGATGTAAAAACTTCTTTATAATATAGTCAGTAAAGCAATCATAAATGTCTCTGTTGATCACCAATAGCTTTATTATTTCCTCTAAAAGTGTTATTAAAAGTGTTAACTCGATAACTCTGTTTCTTGCGGTTTAATTTTATTCTGAAGTTTAAAAAATTCTGTGTTATGAACTGAAGTTTTTGTAATTATTGTAATGTGAAGTTTATTGTAATTTTATGTTATAAATAATATATTTAAATATTATAATGAAATGTAATATTTATTTATTATAAAAATTTATAAACATATATAACTTTTCAATACATATTAAATATTATATTTTGAAATCTTGATTGACGAGCAGGGGCATAGCTACTTTTTTTATACTTTAATTAATTATAATTTAATTATATAATTATAATGCTTTCTTCATTTATTTTCAGATTTCAAATAGATTATAAATTTTGTTAAACAACTGTGCCGTTGTAAATATAGAAACCTTTCGAACTCTTTTCAATAATTAGTGCGAAACTTTACTATCAACCTGAACCTAATTAAATCACTGCCAGACGCACCCACATCTACATGATGCTGTACGTATTTCACGTCGACGTGGGTCGCATGATGAACTTCGACATGACAGTCGCACTGTCATCCGTTGAAAATCTCAAAGATACAATTGAACGACTGCATGGTATACCTGCGGCAAATATTGTCTTGCTGGTTAGTGGTGGTGAGATGCTAACCCAGTCCACACAAGTGTCTTTCTACTCGGCTGGCACAGATACAAATCCAATATACATGTTTCTTACTGGAGAAACAAGATTACCTCCCTCAATAGCGCAGTCTGAACCAGATATAGATTTACGTGAACAAGTCGAGCGTTGTTTAGAGTTACCTGCCGTTTACGAGACGGTAGTAACGCGTGCTCAGCTTGCTCTTCGTATGCATGATATGGCAAGAGATGAAGAACGCCTCTGCGAACGTCTTGTACATGAGCAACACTTGCAACAACAGGGTTGGTCGGCTGTCGTAGCTAATATGGAAGACTTAACTGATGAATTTCGTTTACGTTTTCATAATTTTTGTAAAGCATTCGATCAACATTTAGAGAAACGTAGTCGATACTTTGAACTGTTGCATAATTTCGGTGATGACTTAACAAAATTGGCTAGAATACCAATATTACCGGGTTTAATGCAATTAGCGGAAGAAGATTTTCATGGATTTGATGAATTACTCGATAATGATGAAGTCTTCACACGCTCTAATGAACAGCAACAATCGGTGCTAATAGCAGGTGAAACAATAGCAGCTAAGTCAGCTGATGATACGAATACACAAGATGATGGCAAAGCTAATGAAGATGATAAAAACACATCATCGACTAATAAAAAACTTAAATTAGGCAATGATACAGTTGAAGAAGGTGCAAGTGCTACTTCACAGAATTCAAACAACAGTTCCAGACGTAACAATTTTAATCTTCTGCAGTGGATTACATCCAAAGAAAATCATAACACACTAAAGCTTATGTCAGACGAATGTGAGCAAGGGCTCGGTACTTTTAACGAAAATGTTTATGAAAAGTTGAAATTAGAGGTACAGAATATAATAAAATTAGCTGATCAAGTGGATGTTAAAGAAATTAAAGGCTTAGGAGAACGCCTTTGTAAACTAGAAGAGTTTAAATATAAAGTAAAAGCAATGGTGCAAGATCAAAGAGAACTCTCAACTGCTTTTCAGCAGAATCAGAATCGCGCTATGAATTTACGTGATGCATCTATTTTACCCGATCTCTGTGCTTCACATCAGTCGCAATTACGTGTTATGCTTCAAAACCATCAAAAAATACGGGATCATCGACGTTGCATAGCAAAGGCAAAAGATGAACTAGGTACAAATTTGCACACCCGTCTGAAAAGAATTGTATGGATAGAAAACGGAATGAGCGAATTCGATAATCGTTTACTGTTCTATCATCGGTGTCTGCGCCGTGCAGAGAAACACATACACATTATTGAACAGATTCACCAAGCGCCTTCTATTTATGTTGCGGCCGTTGCAGAGGTAAGTTGAACTTCATTTCCAAATCGAACTTTTTTTTAATAAGAAACTATTGGCTTTTTTAGGTAGTACGTCGTAAAATATTTTCTGGGGAATTTCGTATGTGGGCATCAAAGTTAGCTGAAGATTTTGATACAATACATAGCGAAGAAATAAAACGACGAGAAATGTTTAATGCAAGTTTCGAAGGACACTTTCTCAACATATTATTTCCTGGTATGAGTGATATGCCACCAGCGTTTGCCAACGAACATCCATTGATATTTGATGCGCGCTTGCCCAATATAACCAAATCTGATATAGATATGTTATCGTCTCATTTGCCCGATTTAGCACCACAAATTCAATTACCTGACATGGGACCTGTGATAAATTTTTTCGTTTCACGTTCGGGTGAGCATCAGAAGACACGACTAGAAGAGCTCTTAAGGCAACAGGTTGAGGCAGTGTTGGGAAATGCATCACTAGAGGCAGTAACCGATAAACCAGCGCAGCATCAGCGACTAAGTGAATTACAAAAAGAGGCTGGCTGTGACGAATCAGAAACAGATACTGAAACAGAATTTGAAAAGGTGCTAGCAACTGTGCAAACGGTAGCAACTTCAACGAGTGAGAATCAAAATCCAGAAACAATATCGAAGAGCACTGCAACAGATCATTTAGTAATGCAAAGCGCTGAGACTTTGACAGACGAAAATGAATCTGAAACGCGTGCAGAATTAACGCGTTTGCATGGCATACTAAATACTTTAGCTAAGTTATCAACAGACTGTTTATGCTTAGCACGTGTTAATATTGAAAGTATTCGATCTGACACAGCAACGTATCGTGATAATATACAAGAAAAATTACTTTTACTGAATAATAATTGTACCTTAATGGTAAAACAATGTGAAGCAGAAGAAAAGGAGAAATTAGAGATAAGTGCCGAACGAGAGCGTGAACTGCAACAATTACGGGAAAAGATGCAGCAAAAAGACACTGAATTAGAATTGATGCAGGAGCAAAAAATAGAAGCAAAGGACTTGGAAATAAAATGCGCAACATTAGAAGCACAAGTCGAAGAACTTCAGGATCAACTGAAGTTAGCACAAACAGAAAAAGAAAATGTTATACATGAACATAAAAATGAAATTGAATCATTGCGCTGCCGATTCAAGCTAATGACTTCCATGGATCGGTCACCATCAGACACAAGTCTCGAGAAGTTAGAAAGGCCAGTGTCTGCAATCGATTTTGAACAGAACGTAATAGATTTGGTACAGCACAAAGCTCTAATGGTACAATTACGCACTGAACTCGAATTAGAAAAGGAAAAAGCAATAAGTGCAGCTATAGAAGGAGAGCGTACTATTTGGCAATCAGTGAACTCAGAATCTGTGATGGTTAATGTTGGCATACTTAAAGAGATGATTGCAGATAAAGAACGACAAGTAGAACAGTTGCGTGAAAAGGATCTCTTGTTAACTAAAGAAAACTATCAATTGAAAACACGCATAGAAGCATTAGTCAATGAAGAAGGGAATAGTTGGTTAAAAGAAAAAATTGAATATTTAAATCGTGATAAAACTCGATTAGAAAAAGAACTTAATAAAGAGAAGTCACGTCGTTTAGATATGGAATCTTCAATTGCTGCAGTGCAGAGGTATATAATTGTGTAATTTATATTTCTAAAATAAAATTAACTTATTTTTTGTTTTAATCATAGTACCGATCAAGGATCCTTGCCACGTTCTAAATCGAGCGGTTCTAGTCATAGATACATAGTATTGGACTCCTGTAATAAAGGTGATATTGTATTTATTATATGGAATATGCGTCATGGGCAGTTTGTGGTAGTACAAGAATCGCAATATTTATATTTTGTACACGGTGATAGTTTAGTTGGTTTAAATCTACGTATACCTAACGCACAGACTGATAATTCTGATGATAATGAAAATCGTATACCTGTACCATATTATGCCATTGGGCGTGTAATCGACAAAGAATTTTGTCAAGCCCGAAAGGTAGGAATATTATTTTTAAGCCATTTTGCTAAAATTTAATATATACTTTTCTATTTAATTTATTAGGAGGAAAATAGATATCGGGTTTCAAGAGGCTCAAAATTTTATCGCATCAAAGTGGCTCCATTAACCACAAAACCAGCAACTCGTCGCGAACGTTTGGAAAGTGAGTTTTGTGATTACATTTCTTTAAATTAATATTTAAAAAAAAATTAATATAAAAAAAAGTGCATGAGTGTAAAAAATATTATTTGAGCTATTTAAATATCTTTTCACAACTTGCATGTTAATTTATAGTACTTATTTATTATTATTTCAATTTCAATTTGATGAAATAATCTTAATATATTGTTTATTACTTATTTAAAACTTTGAAATATCGAAAACTAATTCATACAGAATTTTGTGACTCTTAATTATAATTATAATTTTAATGGTGCGGATTTCAGTATATTATTAGTTGTTCAATTGACACTAACAAATTTATTTTTTTATTATTATTAATTATTATTTGCCTATATAATGACAATCTCATTTAATTGTGTTTCACAAACTAACGTCACATAAAACTTAAAAATAATAATTTACTAAACTAAAAACTGTAATATAATACATTACATTACTACAGCTTTTTCGACATCTATAAGTCGTTCTATTTCACAATGTGAATCACAATGTGAACCTTCTGTTGCGGCGCCGGGTCAGCAAGCAGTTAGCAGTACCACAACACAGCAAAATGCTCCCCTCAGCTTTATTGGAGCTGATACAGCATTAACAGCAACAACCGTCATTGGAGATGTGGTGGATGCGATTGTGACTAGTGCTTTTGCCACTGTATCACCAACTATTACAACAGCAAATCCCGTGGATGGTGATGCAGCTACCAGGGATCTTAAAACACGCACCATTAGTGTGACAAGTGTAACAGAAGAAGATGATGAACCAGTCTCTTTGCTGAGCGAACATTGTCGCTATATTAGCGTTAGCGAAGAAGATGAACCTGTAGATTCAACTACAAATCAACAACAACAATCTGTGATAACAGAACAGCCGACGCCTTCAAATAAAATAATGAACTTATTGCTGGCTATTGCTGATACCTACACAAGTACAAGCGCCGCTAGTACTGATACTTCACAAGTTGTTATTGCAACAGCTCCTAGCACTACTGCAGCTATTACAATACCTACCGATATTGCACCAGATACAACTAGTTCACATTCTATACCAACATCTATTGGTACAACTAGTGAAGATTCAGATGAATATCGTTCTTTAGAAGGCAAAGACGATACCGAATATGCAATATTCGAATAGTGAAATCTGTATTTATCTAAAACTATAACAAAAACAACTATAACTGTAACACTAGTGACGTACATAAATTAAATTTATTAAATTAAATTTATGAACCAACAACAACAAATTTATATGCTAATAAATTTATAATTAATTTAACGTATTATCAAATTATCTCAAATTAAGTTACAATATAGAGCAAAATACGAACTAGTTTAAAAAAAATTTTACCGCATAAAATACAATTTATAGCAAGTCAAACACACACAGTCTTACACAATGGAAAATTAAACAAATTTATTATTAAACTCCTTCAACTATGCAGATTTAAAAATAATAATAATAATAGTTTAAACAATTAATCTTTGTTCATAACGAAAGTGAAGGGCACGGCACGTACATACTTTACTCGGCTGTAAAAGTAAAAACACATTTGATGAGTGTATTAATAAATATTTTAAAGAATTTTTAATAAAAATGATTAAATAATTACTTTGTAAAATAGTAGAAAATGGATAAAAATAATTTCTCAGCCTGGAAATAAATTATAAAACATAAGTGAGAGAAAGTTTAACATATTGAAACATTGCAACAAGTAAAGCAAAGCCAATTTATCCATATATAATGATTAACTTTGTAACTGACTATGGACTCAAGATAATTTACATTTGTTTAAAAAATCAAACTAAATTATATTGTATATTAATTATACTAAAACCGTTTTACTCTATGAGAAATTAATGATTTTTAATTATACATTAGTGTTGATGATGGATGTTACATACCACTTATAATAAATTAAAATAAATGTCAAAAAAATATAATAAGATAAAAAAAGAAAAAGATTTGCAAAAATAGGTAAAAATATATTTTCAGATATAGTTTATGATTTTGATTTAAAATGCAAAAAATATTAAAAAATAAATGTATTAGTTTGCAATTATGACTAATAATGGAATCAATAAAGTCTCATCTGTAACCATTTAAATTAAAATTATTATGTTTTCATTTGAAACAAATATTTATTTTAAAAAGTATTGTACTCTGAAAGTCAATTGAAATTTGAGTACAGTACAAAAAAAATGTTTAGGTTTGTATTATAAACTGTTGTTTCGCGGATAAATAAATATATATATAATTATATATTGAAGAAGTTGAAAAAAAAAACCAACGAAGTGTTTGCACAATATAAACATATTTTTATTTGAATTGAAATATTAATTATTAAATTGAACAGTAGAATAGTCAAAATTATTTCAAAATTAAAAAGAAAAAATTTATATTTTCATATAATTAAAATTATTCTCAAATAGCATATAAAATGCTTTAAACTAAAAATATATTTTTATATGGCAGCTCACAACTAAATTTATAAACTGATAAAAAAAACGAAAAAGGTTTGTGAAACAAACTTAAAATGAAAATAATAAAATAGAAAAGATGAAAAAAATTACAAAAGTGTAAAATCAAAAACTAAAAAACAACATAATTAAATTATTAAATAAAAAATGAGTTTATTGGTATTGCAGATGAAAAGACACATAATATAATATATCAAAAATTAAGAATTTTAAAATATAATAACATAAATTTTATAACTTTGTAGATAGTATATTTTTATTTATATATTATATATAAAACACCTACAATATTCACTATACTTAAAATAATTAATTTTGTCTTACATATTTTTGTTGTTATATATCAGGCAACAGATGAAAAGAGCTAATAGTATGATTAGTTCGTAAAAATTAATACAAAATTAACATTAACTGCGTGATCGACATCCTCTTTACTAGAACGAACGATAAAGATCATAAATAAAAGTAATTGTTAATGCATCATAATTGTCGGGTAATATTTGTTGGCTTTTTACTTGTGATTACTTATTTTCATTTGTTTGTTTTTAATCTGCAGTAAACCATGTTATATTCAAAAATCTATCCCTAGCACTACTTTTTATTAATTAGCTTTCACTTCTGTCTTGCTCATATAATCCACTGTGAATTAAAACGCGATCAATTGCTAGTACACTGCATTAATATTGTTTTCCATGTTAGTTGATCAGATCATCAATTGCTGAAAATCAGTCGGAAGTTATATTGTCGAATATTGTTCAAAAATTGCTTAGAGAGATAATTACAATGTATTATGTGTGATTTTAGTAGCTGGGGATGCGAATTTAGTATTTATTATTATTTATTTATTTTTTATTTATTTTTTATTTATTATTTATTTATTATTTATTTATTTTTTTGAACAATACGTTTTCAGTGACTTCGTTGGAAATTTAAATCAGTGGTAACAAAAATAAATTTAAATTGCAATATTTATTAAACCTTTTTCCATTGCTCTATATGTCAATATAATTCAGCTACTAGAATCTTTAAAGTTATAAAGGACGATTATTAGTAACTAGGAGCTCGGGAGCCCATCTACTCTCTACGTTGTTCTGGTGTTCTATCAATCTATTGCCGAAATTTTATCCGTCCTTAGCAAACTTCATCTTGTTCTGGTGTTTTATTAACTGTTTGAATAACTAGCTGAATTTGAACGTTTATTAAGCTGCTGTTTATAATTATTTCCTTTTATAGTTCTCATCACTACATTACTTCTAGTGTGGTTTCCAATAAATTTCTAACTGGTGCATAGCAGTTGTGTCCACTTGCATCATTAAATATTTGAAATATATTCTTAAGAGTGAGACAATATAAAGTAAATAAATATGTTTAGGGTACATTTTGTTAAATTGTATATTCTCTTTTTCTCACAAAAATTAATAACATATTTGACAACGATTTAGTATGTTTTGTTGCTTTAAACTTATTCCATTGGTTTATATTGTTACTAATAAAAATGTACCTAAATGCTATTTGTTCCACATATGATAAAGTGTTGTTCGCAATTCTTGTTATTGTCCTACTCACCGTAAAGAAGATGGAACAAGCACACTTTGACATTTTTATATAAACAAAGTATGTTAAAATTGAATTATTCTTTCAAATAATAGTCGATTGATCAATTTACTGATTACACATGTTAGAGTAATCATTGTGGTATTAAATTGAAATATTTCCTTTTATTGTTTGTAACAAAACTATCAGGAAATTTCAGCGTTAATTTAACACTTTTAACAATTCAATCTTAAAACAAATTAGTCGGCCGGGTCTGTGTCCCGGAGCCACTTATCAATTTCGACGACCAAGTGTCGATCTCCATCCACCAGACGGACTACATAATCCCAGTCTTTTATTTGCTCTGCTCTGTCACTACTTTTTTGAGACGGGTTAAGCTTTGGTTTTTAATTAAATTTTTTTTATAAAAATGTATAAAATAAATTAAGTATCGAATATAAAAATACTGTTTCAATTTTCAGAAAAAAATATTTATAACATACAATTCGTTTAACCTCTATATATAGATAGTAATTAACAAATTATTACCGAAAATTTGCCTGAGAAAATTTTGCATATAATTTTAATTTTTCAGATGTTTTTGTTCCCTTAATAATAATAATAAACGGAATAATAGTTTTAAAATCAAAACTATAGAATTTAATTCAACAGAATAGGGTTTTTATTTTTTCCGTTCGTTGTTTCATCAATTTTTTTTTATGTTAAAAAAGATCGATTATTATAAACACCTTATATATCTTCTAGTTTACCTATAATTATATTAAAATTACTTTACCTTTTAAACTACATAATCCAAAAAAATTGGAAGTGGTAAACCATTACAAGGATTCAGTCAACATAAATTATCATTTGTTCATTTAAACTAATTAAACATCAAATGTACTTTGCAGCCACATAATAATATATATCATCCAAAAAATGATGTAAAGATATTGTACGTTTTTTAAAAAAAATTGTGAACCAAGTTAATGAGAATCGTAAACTGTGTACATTATTTAGTATTGCAAAATAATGAAATTTGTAAATATCAATAACTATAATTACAGTTTATTTAAAAATTTTGCTTAATACCTACAACAATAAAACTATTATTGTGTTATAATTGTTCTAACAATTATAAAAAAATTAATAAAATCAAAATAAAAACTATAAAGATCATCTAAATCTCTTTTAAAAATATAGTTTAGCCTAAAATGGAACTGGCTTTGAATAAAGTTTGTGTAATTAAGAAACAAGAAGTATGTGGACATTTTACAATTTATGAGTTTTTATATATAAATAATTAATAACCGTATATTTTATTGTTAAATTTAAAATTTATTAATATATGATTCGTAAAATAAGCAAATCAATTTGTAAATAATATGGTATCATTTAGATTTAAAGTTTAAAGCAAACAAATTTAAAATTTTTTTCATTTTTTGCTTAAACTTATAAAAACGAAACGAATAAAAAAATTTCAAAAATAATCATTTCTTGTGTTTTTAATAAAAAATATCATGGAGTAACATTATCATGACTTTCTCAGTATAACGCTCCCAGATTAGATTCTATACATAAGAAAGAACAAATCATGCAACAAATAATGTCTCTATAAACAGAATAGTATTGAAGTTTAACAATTAAAAATAAAAATATAATTAATTAATTCAATTATTCTATAGCTGGTCGTTCTAATATAAACACAGCAAGTACATTTGCTAATAAAACTTACACAACAAATTAACAAAACTCCAGAAAAATGTGCGAACATGAAAGTCAAGTATAAACACTGACTCTGAGCTTTAAATTTGGCAGGGCACGAGTTAAATCCCTGGTACTTGCAGTCCCAAAAAATAATTTGCGAAAAATTAAATTAAAGAAATATTTCCAAGATCACTGATGATGGATATCAATTAATTTAAGTAATATAAAAATGAATTTTTGTTGTAGTTCACTACTTTTCAAAAAACCTCTTTATAAAAAATATTTAATAATTAATATTCACATTTAATAATAATAAATATTTTTTAATTGTTCTGAAACTATAATTATAAACTCAATACTATTTTTTTAATTTTAACATTATTTTTATAAATGATCAAAAATTAGTAATTCTCTGGAATTTGGACACATTATTCTATATAATGTGTTAATATTGATGTTTTCTTCTTTAATGATAAAAGTTTAATGACGAGCATCTTAGAAGCCGTATTAATATGATGTAATTAGTTAATTTTTAATTAATTAATTAATTTTTCTTTAAAGAATAATAAATAACGAAATAAAACAGTCCATTATATAAACTAAACAACCTGTGAACTGTTATAACATTGTACACTTTCTATTATATATAATATATAAGAAGTTTTAAAGCTACCTTAGTCTTTCTAGTGCTACTCAGCATTGTTATTCTATTTCATAAACCATTTACTTGAATTATTTTATATTATTCATTATTGACAATATTAAGTAATATTGTAGCACAGTTAACAACTATTAACAAAACACATGACCTCGAAATTTATCTTGTTTTTGCTGCTTTACATTGTTATTATATTGTGTTACTCCTTTCTAAAGCGATCGTGAATATCCTTTTAGTTTTACCCTTTCAGAAATCGTTAAACAGTAAAGTTATTATAATTTTAATTTTACATACTTTTTTATAAGCACACTTATAAAACTTAAAAAGCATACTTTATAACCTGAAGAATAATTAATATATTTGATTTTAAAGATGGTTAAAACAAAGTAAACGATATTATAACATTTATCTTTAATTTTATGGTAAAAATAATAATATAATAAGAAAATAATATAAGATTCAGTAAAACATATTTTTTACCACTGCCCTACATAAGGCTTTTTCTATTACCAACTCTTTATCAGTTTAATTTTATATAAATTAAAATAATCTCTATTATACAACATTTTGCTGGTCTTTAGAAAGCTGCCATAGAAATAGTGAAATGCACTTCTGTCGAGCAGTTGGCCTAGCAATCTTAGATTTCGATGAACTACACACATTGGTTTTCAAAATTGCCATTATTAATTCTCGTCCGCTCTTCTCACTTTCAAAACATCCTGAAAATTTTGGCGTTCTCACACCTGCTCACTTTCTAATCGGTGCTCCATTAACGTCAATCATTGAGCCTGACACTGTATTGACGATCAAATGGCGAATCCCTACTCCAAATATGTCACTCAGTGCAATAGAAATCATTCCTGATTGTGTCGTACGTATATCGGTAGTGCGAGGTTTTCATTTTTGCTCAAATTATAATACAATACTTAATAACTTAGAATAGTTTTTAATACGCAGATCCTAGGGTAAATACGGCACTGGTCTAAAACTTTTGATTTACTATCATGTATACTTATTCTAAATTTTCTAGGAATGTTTGTTGTTATTCAGGTATTTCAAATAATCTTAACCATTTCTATAAATAATTTTAATTAAAAGTACTTAATTTGACAATCAAAGATATCAAATATTTTTAGTAGTAAAGTCAATTAAAATCGAAAAAACAAAAACGGTTCAATTGTGAATAAATTACTATTATTAGAATATGTATTAATATACATATTGCAAATTCTGGTAGTACTTAGTTAGTTACTTTGTGGTGGAGGGAGGAATGAATCCACCTCAATTATCTAAGAAAACCATTTTGAATCCATAAATCCTCGTAATAATGGAATTCTGGTAGTACTAATGTGGAAGTTTTACATCAGCGGATATTTTTAATTAATTTTTTCTTCCTTTATGCTCTTTTTAAACATTCTGAAATTGTTAGACTACAACTCAGATTGCTTCAATCGGTTCGTCTAGCCACCATAGGCTCTACCGTCACCTATTGTCATCATAGCTCTATAATATTTTAAATTACACATCTAAACCATCAAATTACCACATGTCACTATAATTGTTATAATAACACGATTAATAATTCTTCTTGATTCTTGATTCTTCTTCTTGAGTTAGTGCTATTACGCACTTTTACTCTATAATGGCTGGGGGGCTTATCACTACCCCACACTAGACTTTAACTAGATTAAGAAATCATATCATTTATTTGTCTTTTAGTTGATGACGGACCTTAAATCAGCATAGCTTCCTGAGAGTCCAAAAGTGGACTTGAGGATTGTTAGGGCGGGATAAAGTAGCGTGTCAAGTTTAGTGAATAGTTTTAAAGCTCTGTCTCTGATATATTTTTTCACTGAGTCAATCCTAAGATCTCTACATATGTCTGTTGATCTAATATACCATGGAATCTTAAATAGTCTTCTTAAAGCCAGGTTTTGAGCTATCTGTAATTGCTTTAAGGTAGTATTTGAGGCTTTGCTATATGTAACACATCCGTACAGTAGTACTGGTCTAATTACTTGCGTATAAAGTAACTTTCTGTTTTTAAAGTTGAAGTGATAATTATTAAATAGCGGGTTTAATAAATGTAGAATCTTAGATATTCAAAATATTTTTAAAAAATGATTAAATTAAAAAAATTATTTTAAATAAACACTCATCAAATCTGACTACTTTTCTTTCGTGTAAAATGTATTTATATTTTCTAATACCAATGCTTGTAGCACAGAATTTGAAACCCATTTTTTTTTTATATATTTGAGTAAATAAAAAAAATTTCTATTTGTTCGAGAAAAGACTTCCCATCTTCGATAAAACTGTCTTTATACATAGTCCTATTATAATAATTTTCTATTTTATGCATTTTAGTTATACTGCCGACTATAAGCAGATGATTTAAAAACAATTAATTAGGACAAAAAGAAAAAAAATAAATAAATCAAAATAATTTAGTTTTTGTATTCGTATTTTATTAATTGTATACAAAATGTTAATTACTACAAATTGCACAGACGATTAAATAAATTATTTTTTTATATGCTACCATACATTTATTATTAATATATTTATGTAAATACGTATCAGTCTCCGGAAACTAACAGGGTTTCAACATGAATTTTGTCTCTAGACGAGTAAGTAATTTATTCTAAAAATTACAATAATATATTAGAATGGTTCTTTCGTAACTAAAACACACTTTTTGTCTAAAAGAAATGATTATCATTAGCAACCAGCAGTTATTAGTGAAGTTACTGCGAGTTATTGCAAGTTGTTGCTAGTTGCATGCTGTTCATCATCATCATCATCATCATCATCATAATAAACAATACCATTCTCTTTAAATGAGACTAGTAAATGGCTTTAGAAATATTTTTCTGCTATTCACTTATTCGTAAAAAGTATTTTATTCTTCTTTGTGGTCGTTGTTGTTTTTGGTTTTGCTTCTAATTGTTAGCAGCATAACTAATTAGTATAACTACAATAGACTTCATTACTAACATTAGATGTAGAAAAATTAATTTAAATATGTTGCAGTTAATAATTATATTAAACTAAATTTAGGATTCTTTAAATCTGCTCAGCCACCTTCTCCACACGCAAATCACAAGATACCGCATTTTTTAAGAACGATTTTTCTCTTTCGTGCCGGATTCTTTTTGGCCGGTCTAAGTATAATTGTGCCGGTGTTTGATTTAGTGAATGTTGGACTGAATGCACTTATAGTTGGATGTTGCTGTTGGCCACTAGCGGGATGATCCACTGTATTGTACGCTTGCGTCATGAGCTGATGGCATTTTGTCGCCAAGTAACGAAATACAGACGCCACATTGACATCCTCTTTGACAGATGTGCGTATGAGGCGACAATTAAGGTTACGTGCTAATGTTTCGACTTCTTCCGATGTGACCACGGATTGTTCAATCAAATCGATTTTATTTTGTACAATAACCGTTGGTATTTCATTGCATTCATTCTCCACTTTTCGTTTCCAATCTTTAACTGCATCGAATGATGCACGATCTGTTGTACTAAAAGTGAGTACACAAGCTTGTGCCCCACGATAGTATGCTTTTGTTATGGCATCGAATTCTTCTTGACCAGCTGTGTCCCATAACATAATTCGCACATCTTCGCCATCGATTTCGATTTGTCTTTCGAGGAAATCGACACCAATTGTTTTTTTGTAATCTTTTGTAAAAATTCCTAAAATAAAAATAGAAAGAAAGAGTTATATATATTATATAGTAGTTATATTTTATTTACTTATTATAAAATTAATGTTGCAATTAATTAAAAAAATGGTACAAAATATCAGTGACTCTTTTAACTTAAACAAAGAGCAAGTGTAATATGTTTACCTCCACATCTTTTTTAACGAGTAGTATAAAATTCTGCAGAATCGACCTATGGACAACTTTTAAGATATAGATGCTACACTCTCAAAGTACTTGAGTTAATTGTTAGAACCACATTATTTATTATGAGAAATAAATTATTATGTGACTCTACAGAAACATAATAATTTGATATGTCATAATTTTATATAAATATATCCAATTCAATTGTTGTAACAAACCAGGATTTAATCCTATAATAAAGAAAAAAACTAAGAAAATTTCGGGTACTGATTTTTAGTACACTAGTTCAAGACACCATATACTGGATTCACGCGAGAGTTTTGGTTGTAATTTTAGACGTCATGTTTGTAATTTTAGCTGTCATGTTTGTAATTTTTACTGTCAATTGTTGTTACTTTCAATGCAAAATAAAAATTTTTGACAGCTAAAATTACAAACAAAACCATTAAAAGACTATATAATGAACTATATAAATAGTAAAATATTATAATTATGCCACAAATGAAAAAAATTAAAGATAAAATATATTGTTTCTTGAAGCAACATTAGACATTAGACACATTTGGGACATTAGTCCCAAACCAGTGATCTTAAAATTGGGCTAGGGAAGGGTATCTAATGAAACATAGATGATTACATTCTCTATGAAATTGAGCAGCTTTTAATAAGTTTTACATTATCATTATAGATTTCGACAATGCTTGATTTTTAAATAAAAATAAGCACTTCGAATTCACTTTATGGCCAAACTGCAACTCAAATTAATCAAGTGCTTGGTAATGCAAAATACATTACGAACCTAGTCTAACAAAGAAATATGACGTAAATTAACTTACAGTAGAAAACTCCAAAAACAGACTCCATGTTGAAATCAACACACACCTAGATACTTCGACAATCGCGCTCAAAGTTAAGTACGGTAAACTCCTTAATTGCAAGGTATGGGTATAATTTTGTTTTGTTCAAAATACTTTAATCGCAGAGAAGTAGAACATCCTCACAAAATGAAACAAATATAAGCATAAATACTAAAAACTGCAATCTAACGCCACTTCCTTCTTCCCAGAAGTTATTAATGTGATTAAAACCAAAAAAAAAAAATACAAAAAACCAGGTAATGTTTAAATCCCGGTGGCCGCTTTCAACAGCTTTTATAGCAGCAAATATAACTATTTCAGTAACTACGTGGGAACTATATATCGAATTTAAAAACCCTTCAACTGTTCGTTTATGAGCGATTACAATGAAGAACAAGCAGTTTAGGCCCACAATACTAAAGTGAATAAAGTTGAAAAAGTGTTACCGCTGGTACATCCAACTGCATTTAATAGTCTTTTGCACGCGACAAGAAGACTATAGAATTTATAGTATACTATACAAATACTATAGTATTTGTTTTTATACGATGCATTGCCGAAATATATCAGTTATATGCTAAAGCAGATATCGTAAAAAACAAAATCAATTCCTTATAATTGAAGCCCGAATAGGACGTGTGAAGTTTGTTACATTATTGTATTTCAAAAATAACATTTAAAATATGTTTACTTTTTAGTGAAAAGTTCAAGATCAAGTCATATATAAAAAAAGTTTTAAATAGTACAAGTATTGCGCTCCAAAGCTTTTATCATTTTTGATAGCTATTTTTTAAAAGTTCACAAGTTTCTCCAATATTTCTAACGTTTTATTAACAAAATTTTCAGTTAATATTTAATATAAATATATATATAAAATATATGAGATTTATCTATTATTTTTATCTTCTTGATTCTACTCCATCCGTTTCTTGAGTATGCCACTATTACTTACGTAGCATTACCAATCAGGGTCAAGATCCTGATTTGATAATATTGCTTCAATAACATGTTATAGAATAGAACTGTCATAAAATGGAATATATATTAATATCGTTTTCAATTGGTAAATCTAGATTCATTCTAGATACTAATTTAGATTCATTCTAGATTTACCCTCAATCTGTTAAATTTTGTAGTCCAATCAAACTTTTTTAGAGTAATATATTTTTTATGGCGTTTTTCATTAGTAAATCTGGAGAAATTTTTTCAATCGAGATGCTCTTTTAATGCACTTTAATTGCAATTTTATTTTCGATTAGTAAATTTGAAACAAAATGTCTAACATTCAAGAATGCTCGTAATTTATAACACTCTAGATATTTTGTCTGAGTAACAAGATTACCATAAAATTAACATTTACATTTTTCACAAATACATATATCGAATCAAATCACAGCTTATCTGTCAAACCATATAAAACAGCTGTTAATTTCCGTGTAATGTTGCTACTCGGGCAAAATATCTAGAGTGTTATAAATTAATATCCGAGTTTTATTAATTTTACCCCAGATTTACGAATCGAAAATAAAATTGCACTAAAAGTGCATTAAAAAAGCATCTTGATTGAAAAAATTTCTCCAATTGATTTACCAATTGAGAACGCCATAAACTTAAGGTTTGAGTACATTAAAATTGTGAAAGTGTAAAATTGTGTAAAATTTAATTTTCTTCTGTGATTTGACTCATTTTTTACTTGAAGTATATATATGTCAACAACAAAAAATTTGTCATATTTGGCATCAATTCACAAAAAAAAAAACCATTCAATTCAGAAAATGTCACTCTTATGGATGTCGGGAAGTGTAATGATTTTTCGAATAAAATCTTTTTGAAGAAGTGAGGTAAGAGTTTTGTATGAAGAACTTCGTTTTCATAATCAGGGATTTAAATCACCTCAGAGAATGTTTAGTTTTTATTTAATTTAATAACTTTAATCAATTTTAACATAGATTATTCACTTTTTTAAGCAAAAAATTATATCTTAAGAAATGAAAAATAAAAGACAAATTTCAAATGGAGAAGTCTAAGCGTAGAGGTAGCTTCAGTTTCGTTTTATCGATGAAAATGTTATTATTCTTTTGTATCTACCAAAATGAGGAGAGACAAATATATATATAATGTTTCACTCTACATCTGACTTAACTTTGGTAAAATTTTTATTTTCGCATGCGAATACCTATTAATTTCGAATTTGTCAGCCAACATTTGTATGTGTCGATGAAAAACTGAAAATATGTACAAAACCTTGCCAAAATCTGGCCAGTGTAGACGCAGGGCAAATAACAAAATTCAATGGGTTTTGTACCTCACAAGTTGTAGTAATTTTGAAATATTATTTTCGAATTTTGTCAGCCAACATTTGTATGTGTCGATGAAAAACTGAGAATATGTACAAAACCTTGCCAAAATCTGGCTAGTGTAAACGCAGGGCAAATCACAAAATTCAATAGGTTTCGTACCTCACAAGTTGTAGTAATTTTGAAATATCTGTTGTGATGATGATCTCCTAATAAAAAATTCAATCGGTATCAAGTAGTTTAGTAATGGAATTCTTACGCTATACTCTATTTATCTTATAGGTTTTTAGGTAAACTTAATTATTTGCTTAACGCAAATGAAAGAAAAATATTAAACGAAAATTAATTTTTAGTTTTTTTATATATAATGTGGTACAATGCTGCCACCTTACCACAAAAAAAGAAATTCGATAATCTATTTGCGCGAAATATTAAAAAATAAATACGGGGTCAACATTTTACAAAATATAAACCAAAATTGCTGTTAAGACATTCGCCGTGTTCAGTTGTGCACGATCTTCTACCACATAATTGAATGAATGAATGAATTGTCAATATAATTAAGTACTAGCAAAGAAAATATATGCGGTTTTATTAAAATTTATTGAAGTAAAAAAAAGCTTAAATTGCTTATAAAAAAAAAATAAAAATTGTCAACAACATTTACCAAAGCAAATAATTCAGATATCAAAAATATTTTCATTATAAACTTCTCGAGGTTTTCATGTTTTATATAGGAATTGGAATATAGGTGCCAACGCAAAAGAAAACACACCACTAATATAAAGTTAATTTCAAATTAATTAATATTAATTATGAAGTAAGAATCCTCACAGTTTACTCACGCATGCAGTCTGCGGTCAACTTATAGCGTCTGATAATGTATATGGGTCGTTCTTTTACAAACGGGACGGATTTGAGTTTATCATATTTTTTTGTACATTTAATGCAAAGCACTTGAAGTATTTTTTTAAAAATAAAAATATAATTAATTAATTCAATTATTCTACAGCTGGTTTATGATTTCGTTCTAATATAAACACACCAAGTGAATTTGTTAATAAAACTTTCACAGCAAATTAAAAAAAATCCAGAAAAATGTGCGAACATAAAAGACAAGTACAGCTTTGGGTCAGTTGTTTAAAAAGCGCTGACTCTGAGCTCGAATTTTGGCTGGGTACGAGTTCGATTCCTGGTACTTGCAAGAATTATTTTCAAGACCACTAATGATGAATATTTGGCAATACTTCAAACAGCTGTATTTTTAGCCAAAAATTCAATTAATTAAAATAATATAAAATTTTGTTGTTGTTGTAGTTTACTACTTTTCGACAACGTTTTAAAGAATTTTTTTGAAAATAAAACCATTCTGAAAATACTTGGCTATAAAAAAAATTTAATGATAAATTAAAATCGTAAATAAAAAATAAAATAATATTAATAATAGCACATTTTTTAAAATTTCATTCAAGAAAAAAATCGAGTGCATGCATTTGATATGATGTGAGTGATCTAATAATTTTTTAAAAATATTCACAAAAAATTTTTATTAATTAACTATTGGTATTAGTTCCAATTTAAATCATTTCAATTATTTTTATAAAATGTTCAACAATTATCTTTAAAATTTAGTTAACTTCTAATCTCTCTCATTTGCAGAGCCTAAGATTTGGCAATTTAAAAATT